TATCCACACAGCCTCTACACAGGGGCAGGATTTATAGCAGGGTTTATAGGCTAAGGCAGGTTTCCCAGTGCTTCAGTCCCACCACCCACTCTTTGTCCCAACTTTCTTTGTCCATAGTGAACTCTCCAGAAAGGGAAAGCAAGCCTGCCTAAGACAGCCAGAAGCATCCAGTCATCTCTGCTCCCCTTGTCAGCACCAGTGGTTGCCCACCAGACAATGCTGACAGGTGCCTGTGTCCATGGAGTATGGACTCTCTAAGGGCAGGAATTGTGGGAGAAAGGACAACCTTATAGCCATTTTGCCATGTCAGAGCCCTGCCTCTTGTCCTCGCCAGCCATAAACCTTGGCCAGCCACTTAGTTACTCTGAGCCTTGGTTTCTCATCTGTAAAATGGCAATCACAATACCTGCCTTGAAAAATTTGAGATCAATTTTGTTAATGTCTAGTTCAGTGCGCCATAAACTTTTTTTAATGCATGTAAACGTGTTCAAATTAAATCTCAGGACACCAATCTATAAAACAGTGCACTGGAAGCCAAAAGGGAGGGCCCTAGGACTCCTTCACCAAATCCTGGGGGGTTCAGGGAGTCCAGTGTGAAAAGATCTGGCCCCAATTCTGACAGCCAACTCTTAAGTCAACCAGAAATGCTACAGCAGTAAGAAGAGATGGAGAGATTGACACATTGGCTGGGTCTATCTCCAGAGGAGGCAGAGGTGCACATGTGGAGGGGGAATGCACCACCCATGGGAGAACCCTGGGGGCTCTAAGAGGGAGGAGCTATTACCAGGGGCCCACTGTCTCATCTGTGAGCACCCATTCTGACTTCCTACAGGAGATGAGGAAATGAGAGACCCCTGTGCCATGGCTGCCTCTCACCCAGTAAACAGACTTTTTCTCCATTCTTCACACAAAATGCCTTGCCTCCCCATGTACCTACCAGCTAAATTCCTAAATGTTTGACTATCAAAATCTGGCTTTCCCTTTGAATTCACATTGTCAACCTACTGGAAGTCTTCTGTGATTGCCCTCAGCCAAAAAATAGCATTTCCTTCCTTTGACCTCCTCTAGTGCACAGAGCAGCAGCTAAGAGCTTGGGACTCAGTTTCTCTATCTGTAAGATGAGAATGTGAGGACTTAGTGAGATGATCCATGTAAAACCCTAGCACAGTCCTGGCACACAGTAGGCACTCAATAAATGTCAGCTATTCATTTTAATGCTGCGGTCTCTCCCCTGCCCCACAGCTCCTTCAGGCTGTGGCACACAGTAGGTGTCCACTGAATGCTTACCCAGGTGACCAGCAGGTGGCCCCACACCCCAATTAACCTCTCTGCCAGCTCCTCTGAGCCCCAGGGAACTGGTTCCCTTGAGTCACCAGCTGCCTTCTCCTCCTGGTCAGGGGACACAGAGGAGGTAGAAATGGCAGAGTGCCGGGCAGCTTAGTGCATCACCTAGCAGACACTTGCACTGTGCCGGTGACCAAGGCCTTTGGGCTCGGCCACCCTTCTCCGTGTTCACTGCAGCCCTGCCCCTTCCTTATGGGGATCACTATAACACATAAGAAAGCTGAGATCTGGAAAAATGCATGATCCACCTGAACATAGAGCATTCCTCGCAATCCATCAACTCGCAGTGATAATGTCTGTCAAGGGTGCTGGAATAATCTGGTCCTGTTAATTCAGTGTTTCATTTTACTAATGGGCAACTGTAAAAATAATAACTGCCTTGCTCAAGGCTTCATATAAACCAAGCTCAGATCTCCTGGCTCTAGACACCCCACTCCATCCCACACACAGCAGGAGAGGTGGGCTTGCCAGACCCTTCCCTGCCTGCTAGTTAAGCATGCTGGCTGCTCAGCAGGACAAAAGGAAGAATTTTACCCTGCCGGGTTTGTGGGCAGCTGTGAGAACACACGAGGGATGCAAAGGCTCGGCCCAAAGCAGTCAGGCCCAAATCAGTCAGGACCAAGGCAGCTAGGTCCGGAGACAGCCACACATGGCCTATCTTCCCCCTCCCCATGCTGGCCAGAAAGAAAGTTTCAAGCAGGCTTGGAAGCACTGAGATGCCTGCAGAGGCTGTAGCAGGCTGTATTTTGAGGCTCAATTGTGACATGGCAGTGGAAGGGCTGAATTGAGGGCAGAGAGGGGCTGGTGTAGAATAGCAATGAGCCAGGTTGTTGGAAGCCAACCAGCATCAGGTTTGGAGGACAGAATCAGGGCTATTGGCCAGATCAGGGGGAACATCACTGGGAAGAGATGTCACACACACACACACACAAACACACACACACACACACGCATGCACACACATGCATGCACACACACACGTGTATATATCTTTCATGGAATTTTTTTTTTGTTTGAGACAGAGTCTCACTCTGTCACCCAGGCTGGAGTGCATGGCATGATCTTGGCTCACTGCAACCTCTGCCTCCTGGGTTCAAGGGATTCTCCTACCTAAGCCGCCCGAGTAATTGGGACTACAGTCGTGTGCCACCACGCCTAGCTAATTTTTGTATTTTTAGTAGAGACAGGGTTTCACAATGTTGGCCAGGATGGTCTCGATCCCTTGACCTAGTGATCTGTCCATCTTGGCCTCCCAGAGTGCTGGGATTACAGGTATGAGCCACTGTACCTGGCCTTTTTTTTTTTTTTTTTTTTTTTTTTTTTTTTTTTTTTTTTTTTTTTTTTTGATTTTTTTAAGAGACAGAATCTTGCTCTGTGGCCCAGACTGGAATGAAGTGGCACAGTCATGGCTTGCTATAACTTCGAGCTCCTGGGCTCAAGCTATCCTTCCTCGACCTCCCAAGTAGCTTCTTAGGAAATTCTTTACCAAAATCTGCCAGGAAAGCTATCATAGAGCTCGTGCAAATGCCTGTGTGTCTGGACTTGCTGATGAGAACAAGAGGCCACTTGGCTTCTTAGCTCTAAATCTAGCTGATTGTCAGAGATTTGCTCCCATTTCACAGACAGCCACACTGAAGCCCAAAAAAAGTGTGACATGGTCAGGCATCCAGCCTCCCGGTCCTGGTTTGTAAGAGCAACAACTGATGCAGGAGATGACGGAGCCAGGCCCTGGGCTGGGCTTGCCGGTATACCAGGCTCCTCATGAGCTCTTGGGAAGTGGCCAAACAGATGTGGGAGATAATGGGGCAATCCTTCCATTTGTTCCTCTGCTAACTGCCTCTGGGGCACCCCTCCCCACCTAGTTACAGGAAGGGCTTTACCCTCTCCCCTACAACAGCAAGGGGCTAAATGTGACCAATAAGAATCTTTCCCTGAAACTGACATGTGGACACCTGTGCAGATGACCTCCCCAGCTAGGACTTCTGCAGTTCTGGTTTTGCCTGTGGAGAAGGCAAAAAAAAAAAAAAAAAAAAAAAAAAAAAAAAAAAAAAAAAAAGGCCAGTGCAGGCAGAGGATCAAGGCCAGCCCCAGGGAGACGCACAGACTGGCAGAGACAAATGGTAGATGGAGTCCTAGAACATGGAATCCCTCTGTTCCTGAGACCCTGCTCCTGTACTTCTGCCTGCAACCCTGTAACCTATCAGTCATCCTTCTCAGCACTGGGATGCATACATTCTCTCTTTGACTTAAACTGCCCCATGACACCTCCTTCTCCTGGAGCCAGGTTCTTCCTTCACAGACCACATCAAGACCTTGATTCAACATTTTCAACATGTTATGTTTTTACCTTCTCCCTCATGAATGTAAACACCTTGAGGTGAGCCCCCTGTCTGAAGCTCTCACTGTAGCCTTCCTTGTACCCAGCATAGCTCGCAGGTACTGGATGCTTGGCAGCCAAGCAAGGGAGGCCATCCCTGCCTCCACAGCTATGTGACTAGACAGCCTACATCTACCTTTGTGTCTGGCCAGCATTCCTCCAGGTATGGAGTACACTAGGAAAGCTAGGCTGGACTACAGGCTCCACGGGGTCTCTTGAACTTATCTGGTCATCCTCCTGGAAGCCCAGGAGGCCCAGGCCCATATGATGCTGCTCTAGGGAGCAGGCCCTTGGAAATAAAACCCCATGGGTGAGGAGGGCATGATTTTCTGGATAGAAAGTTGCTGAGGTAGATTTGGGCTGCTTTTTCCTCTACAGACTTCTAGATACTCTAGATGTAACTCTAGCTAGTTCTCCCCTTCCTGATGGCTAAGGATGTTGGAGTAGCTAATGGGTGTGGGGCACAAGCCATGCACCTGGCACCTCACTAAGTATTTCACACACATCATCTGCTCAAATCCCCCACATGACTCCACGAGATGGGCACTGTCATCACTAGGACACAGCTGAGGAAACTGAGGCCAAGAAAGCTTCCCAAGGTCACCAGGCTGGGAAGCAGCAGAACATCTCAAGCCTGTTTGCCTGTCCCCTGCCTTCCAGCATCTCTGCACCCTCCCCCATGCCCTGAGGGAAGAGGGGCGGAGGAGCCAGCACTGCAGGCAGCAGATGAGCTCTTGGAAAACTGGGAGGTTTCAAGATAGAAGCTCGGGGAGAAATGCCAGTTAGAGCCCTCCTTGAGGCTGCCCGCAAGGGCTCCTAAGGGGTGAGAGTGCTCTGTTACTAGAGTAGTCAAAAGACAGTCTTGCAGCATCCCACCTCCTCCCCTCCTTGATATTCTCACTGCCAAATGAAATCTGGCAGCTTCTGAAAATAGCTCAGTGCTGCAGCAGGCACTCTGCCCGCCCTTCAGCAGGCTGGCACACAGCTGGGGGTGGCCACTGTGGGCAGCCACTGGCACACACAGGGCTGGGGGTAGGTGTCACACACACTGCACAGGGGCGGCACAGAGCTGGGAGGTATGTGGCAGCTGCCATCCCTCAGCTCCTCTGACCTTTCTACGCCTAGCAAGGACCCAGTGGCCTTGGAATTAGCATGGCATGCTTACCAGGCCTGAGGCACCCTCTCCAACTGGGGTGAAATCACTAGGGAGTGTGAGAAGCTGCCCTTGGGCCACTTTTGTCCACCCCTGTAGACAAAGAGTAAACCCAGGAGCCAGGAGGAAATGATGAAATGGTGTTTATTACGGTCTGGATGTAAAACCCAGCAGTGTTGTCCTATCTGACATGGTCTAGGGTTTCCCAGCCAGTGAGACAGGGGCCAGGAAGGAACTAGGCTGGGTGTCAGGCACTTGTCAGGCAGTATTAGGCACTTGGCACCCTGAGGCTACCATGACGGGGTGGGGCTGGGTAAGCCTCCATCAGCCAGGCAGGTGTCTTTGCCCCGACTCAGGCCCAAGCCAGGACCAGACCTCTGAGCAGGGCTCGGTCACCTTCCCCAACCTCAGGTCTGACCCAGAGTAAAGAAAGAGACCTCAGGTTAATGGGAAGCCTCTTTAGCCCTGCTCTCAGCCAGCCACTTTCACACAAGTACACCAAAAGATAGCCCCTGAAATCAACAGAGAGGGGCTTTCCTGCCTGAGATCTGGTGAGCAGGTGGGTGCAGGGGAAGTATACTGGCTTTTGTCACAGTGACATTTTCCAAAGTGGAAAAAGGTTAAAAATATCCCTCACCTTAAGTTGAGATGAAAAGCCACCCTTTGGGGTAAGGAGTAGTGATGGGATGGGGAGGCCCAGGGATTCCCTCAGGGGAGAGCGCTGAGTGCTGTCTGGGCTGGGGCTGCAGCAAGGCAGGGCTGGACTGCACAGGGAGGCAGGCAGACTGGACCCTGCAGCCTCAGGGAGCCCAAGGAGGAGTGAGACTGAGGGGGCAGCCAGTGTTCGAGAAACCAGCCTCCCCAAGAAGGCAGAGGTGAACCTTGGATTGCCCCTCCTCCCTTACTCACTCACTCAGCATTCACAGACAGCACGTGGTCCCTGGTCACCATGGCAACCAATGGCCAATGCCTTTCTCAAGGCCAGGCCCATCTGCCCACCCCGCAGGGGGATGTCTCAGTGGAAGACGTGGAAGATGGGAAGCTCAGCCACAACTCCCAGTGGCCTAGAAGGCTAAGGCCATGTACCAGGGCAGGACAGCACAGAGGCCTCACTCAGGCCACCCTGGCTAAAGGTGCTGCTGCGGCAGCAGGCGGCTTCCAGGCCATAGGCCCTGCCCCTCTCTAGGGCTTGAGCCTGGGCCAGAGATCTGAAGGAGGTTTAGGGTCAGTGTCCTCCATCCTGAAGTTCCAAGTGACAAATTAAAACAAAACAAAATCCTTTTGTTAAAAGAATGACCCTGGGCCCTCCTGGCCAGGGCCTCAGCACACTCCAGCCTGCCATGCAGGCTCAGAGGCCTGGCTCCTCCAAGTCCCCATGAGCTACTGGTTGTTGCAGCCTTGTGTGGCAGAGGAGCTGCCTGCCTGCTTTTTTCTCCGCTTGTTGAGGAGCCGGTTGTTAGAGGTCTTCAGGTCCTTGATCTTCACCTGGTCGTAGTCTACCCGCATAGTGGCCAAAGCACTGGTCATCTCCTCCTGGGGACAGACAGGATGGGGGGGGCACTAAGAGATCAGGATGTACTGGCCTTTGGAGTTATCACCCCCTGCCTGGGCAGCCTCTTAACAATATCAGTGACAGGCTGTGCTGCCTCTGTGCCTGCTGTGTGCCCAGCACTGGGACAAGCCATTTGCATCACATGATCCTCACTATAATCCTCTGTGGTAGACACTGAGCTTATTCACTAAGGCACAAAAGGATAGTGACTCCCTGGGACCACACCAAGGGAAAGCGGGATAGTGAACTAAACCAATTCCACCACAGAACCACTAGACCTGCAGAGAATGCCATCTCGCTGGGTAGGCAGCACACTGGGGCCTGGAGATTGTACTGCTGGAGTTGCTACTCCATGTGTTCAAACATGGCCTCTGCTGGGTCTAAAACCAGGCTGACCACCCTCCCAAATGTTGTTGGTTATGAGGTTGTCATCCAAGCTTGGTACCAAAGCCCCATTCATTGAGGAATTGAGTCAGGAACAGCACACTGAATGGAGTAGTGTGGCCCAATCCTTGGAGTGCCATGTGAGGCACTCCAGAGGTCGGACCACTGCGACAGTCACTGACACCCCATGCTCCAGGCATAGAAAGGGCCCAAAGACCCCAGATCCTGGGTAGCCACCACCCTGAAGTCCCTTTTGCCAAAATCCTGGAACCTGCAGTGAGAGACAGAGACTAAGGCAGAGCCCACCCACCTTGACTTCATCCCAATGATCTTTGTCCTCCTGTAGCACTCGGGCCGTGTGGAGTGGGGTCTGTGGCACCACCATCGATTGCTGGAAGGAGTCCCGCACCCATGGATTAGAAACTGGAGGCACCTGGGACAGCACTGGCTTCCCCTACTCCACCCCCTTCTCCCAGTCTCATATGGGAAAACTAAGGCTCAGAGCAGGGAAGAAGCCTCATTGGGGCAGTGGCAAAGCCAGGTTGTAGGTGAGGCCCTACTATCTACCTGTGCTCATGGGCCCATTCCAACCCTGTACCAGGGCCTCAAGGCAGAGCCACCACCCTCCTGCCCCGCAGCCCCGATCCTGCTGGACATCCTGCCTGCTGTGGGAGGAGGAGGCGCTCACATTGATCCAGGGATGGTTCATGAACTGAGTGATGGTCAGCCTCTCTGTGGGGTCTGTTTTCAGCAGGAGGCGGATCAGCTGCTTGGCTAGGGAGGCCAATGGAAGAGAGGGGAGCGGTGAGGTTGCAGAGTTCCTCAGAGCCGGCTACATGCTCTGCTGGGACAAGGGCTGCATGTGCTCCCAAATTCCCAACCCACAGAAATAGTGAGCTAACAACTATTTCTTGTTTTAAAGCACTAAGTGTTCAGGATAATTTGTTAAGCAGCAGTAGATAACTCATACAGGAGAGGCTTGTTTGTGGTCCTCAGAGGGGAGAATATGAATGAGGAGTAGGAGTCAGAGAGAATTTTAAGGAGGCAAGTTTTGAGCCTGTTTGGCAGATGTAGAAACTGGGGCTCAAGAAGCTTAGGGGACTTGCCTAGGGTCCCGTAGCTGGGAAAAGGGGGAGTCAGATTTGAACACAGGTCAGTTTGACACAGGTCAGTTTGACACCAAAGATTTCCCAGAATGAAAGCCGCAGGGGCCAGGTGAGGCAGGCCGGGGCAGAGAGGTTCACTCACCATCCTCAGAGACCTCTGACCACTCAGGATTGGGGAAGCCATACTGGCCCAGGCGGATCCTCCTCTTCATTCCTGGGGAGATGGCCTGGCCCGTGTTGGAGTAGAAGGGTGGGAAGCCACAAAGGCTGGGGGAAGGGGGAAGGCATTTGGCATAGGGTGGGGGCAGTGCCAGGATGAACCCATTTCCCCTCAAAAGCCCCTGACTGGGGAGAAGGGCAACCAGACACCATGGCAATACAGCCCTCTGGACTCCCAGGCACATCCCAGGAATGCCATCCGCCCTTGGCATCGGGAGACCCTCAGGCACCTGAAGGAGTGGTATCCCATGACCAAAAGGGAAGGGCAGCCTGCATGAGGAGTAACACATACAAGCCCCTCACCAAGGACATAGGGATAGGGGACAGAAGTGGTCCTGAGGGCTCAAAGTGGGGGTGAGGGCAGGAGATGATACCAGGGTTGGGGAAGGTACTCACAGGATATACATGATGACACCCAGGGACCACATGTCACATGACTTGTCATACTTCTCTGGACCCAGGACCTCAGGGGCTGCCAGGGCAGAGAGACAGCAGGACTTTCAGCCTCAAGGGTCTTGGAGCCCAGGCAGGACCCTGAAGCCTGGGCAAGGTGGGGAAGAGGTGCCTGAGTTGGGAAGTAGGGCAGAGCAGACTGGCGTCTGGCACCTTTTGGGAAGGCAGCATGGGTGTGAAGTTGCAGGGGGAGAAAGCTCCCAGAAAAAAACAACCACTTTCAGACATACTCCCAGCTCCCCTGGGCCTGAGCCCCTCTGCCAGTGTCAACCTTGGTGAGAGAAGAGAAGAGAAAGCCAGTCTGGGCTTGATGGGAAACTGCTATAGGTGAGAGGGCCTTGGCCTGCCAGCTGTTCTATGTTCCTTGCCTCCTTGAATGCACAGCCTAGGTGACAGGCAAGGAGGAACCAGGGGCAGGGCTCTGCATTCCATCATTGGCTTGGCTACCAATCCATGGAGCCTTTGTCTTCCCTGTGCAATGAGGTGAATAGGCTAGAAGATTTCTAATTTAAAATACTGCAAAACACATCCTGGTTAACAGAGTGCCATTTAAACTGTCTCAAGGAGCTTCCCACCCCTTCAGCAGCCCTCTATAAAGACCTGTTCTAAGGGAGAAAAGCCCTTTGTCATCACCCCACTCTCAGGTTAGGGGGCAGTTTTGGCAAGGAGCTTTTTCAGATCTGGGGGGTTGCCCACTTGCAGAAGGGCAGGGAACTTTTCCAGGAAGCATGACTATGTGCACACTTCCCAGCCCTGGCTTAAGTGACCCTCTCTCACAAGGCAGGTGACTGGTACCCTTTGTCCCTCCAATGTAGGAAGAAATGCCTGCCCACTTTCTGAATATGAATCTTAGGAAGACAAAAACTAGAGAAAAACAACCGCAGTTGGGCTCCGTCCCGAGCTGATGGCAGCCTTTTATCACATATATATTTAGAGCTGCTGTGATGTCATTCAGCTCACAGGCCACAGCCAGAATTTTCCTGGATCTATTTTCAAAAGCAGAAGCTGAAGTTTGGGAGAATATTTTTGCAGCCTCCGGCCCCCCACGTCACCCGCCTCCATGCAGACAGAATTCTCCCCCTCCCTCCTTGCTGGGCTTTAACCCTTTGGTTTCTGCAACCCACTAGCTACCCCACAATACAGCTGTATAAGTTGGGGTGGGGAGTTACAAATCATGTCCCAAGGACTCACCCACATAATAGGGAGTATAGCAGGGTGTCTGCAGGGCATTTTGGGTGGTCTCCTTAGCAAAGCCAAAATCGGTGAGCTTAAGTACTGCGTCTTTCTCCTTAGATGTGTAGAGCAGGTTTTCAGGCTAGGCCAGGAAAAGAAAACATTGGTTTGGAGTTAGGAACCAGGCAGGGGCAGAGCCCCAAGGTGATCTTCAGCCAGACTCCCCAACTCCATCCCAGTACAGAAGGAGTCAGGTCCATTTATAAAAAGACCTGGGCCTTGCCCACCAATATGGGCCAAATATAGTGAAAACCAAGGTGCCACCTTCATTCACAAAAGAGAAAGCCAAGGCAGGTGTTCAGCCAAGGCTGTTAATGACCAAGTGCCATAGAGAGCCTGGGACAGGAACTTCTGATCCTGAGTTGGTGATATTGCCATGAAATGCCAGAGCAAGGGTGCTAGGAGAAGGTAGTCTGCTCATAAGCCAGTGTTGCCAAGCACATGGCCCATACCCAGCCTAGAGTGAAGCCTACACGGCCAGCAGGACAGCCCCATTGAGGTTGCTCAGGTGAGAAGGCCTGGGTTGCTCAGACCCCAGGAGCTGCACGGAGGCAATCTTCCTGTGTCCCAGGAGTAGCCAGGGGCCTGGCAGATGAGGGCAGTGGAGAGGTCTGTCCCTGAAACTGGTTTTTAAAGAATGGGTAGGATGTAGGCCCATGGAGAGAAGCAGAAGAGACCCCCAAGCGGAGCTGGGGTAGAAGGATGGGGTGTTGGATAGAGCTGTCATTTAGAATCGATAGAAGCTATTTCTCAGGTTCCATTTGAGAAGATCTGACCTTCTCAATTGTGATAAAAACAGAAAAGCAGTTTTAGTTTATCCAAGGGAATCTCCTCTGCAGAAGGCTTTTCTCTCTTTGGGAAAATAAAAGAAGCCAGGGTCCAAGTAAAGCAAGGATTCAGAAGGTATGTCTGTTTGTGGCTCCACGTGTATCTAGAATCAAAGAATAACTGTGCAGCTTGAGGTACTCAGCCAGAGGAAGCACCTGATGCAGCAGCTGGAACCTCAGCTTGCCTCTGTCCAGTCTGAGGAAGAAATAAGCCAAGGAAGGTAATGTTCAAGGCTTGGGGCAGAGGGTCCAGGAGGAACAGACTCTGCTCTGATCGTGCTTACACAGACTGATGTATACACGTGCATGTGTGTGTTGTACATGCAGAGCTGCCTCGGTTTGCATTTCATCCATCTGATCCAGATGACCTCTAAGACCCAGGCCTCTCAGGATAGAAAATTTGGAGAGCTGAGCTTCCAGCTTCAAGACTGGAAGGTGGCCCAACAATTAGCACTACTTCTGTTCCTTCCTCCAGTGCCCAGAAAATGGCTTTTTTCCCTGAAAATGCTGGTATTAGAGGGCCTGATCTGCCAAAACTATGGCTATGACTTCACAAAAGCCCCAACAGGGCCAGGTGCGGTGGCTCACACCTGTAATCCTAACACTTTGGGAGGCTGAGGTGGGCGGGCGGATCACCTGTGGTCAGGAGTTCAAGACCATCCTGGCCAACATGGTGAAATCCCATCTCTACTAAAAATACAAAAATTAGCCAGCTGTGGTGGTGTGTACCTATAGTCCCAGCTATTTAGGAAGCTGAGGCAGGAGAATCGCTTTAACCCAGGAGGCAGAAGCTGCAGTGAACCAAGATTGCACCACTGCACTCCAGCCTGGGTATCAGAGTGAGACTCCATCTAATTAAAAAAAAAAAAACAACCAACTGCATCTGGCAGCCCCTGCCTAAGGCCCGGCACATCGTGTGCACACAAAATTTTTTGCTAAACAAGTGAACAAATGAATGAATGAATCCCAGTGCAGCAACAACAGAGCTCTGGGCAAGTCACTTAATCTTTCTCTGAGCCTTGTTTTCCTCATCTGTAAAATGGGTAATGGCATTTATCTCACAAGTCTGGGTGAGAATGAAATGAGATGCTTGTTAGAGCCTGCTGGCTTGAGGCAGGCACTCAGTTATTCTTATTACTATTGGGATTACTAAGTGTTTGAAGGAAACAAGGACACCCATCTGGTGAGAACAGAATGAGTATGCTGAAACTAGAGAAGAGGCTGAGAAGAGCAGTCTGGAACACACAGCAGAGGCTTTGAATGTGACTATGAAGCCTAGCCTCCATCCAGTGGGTCCTAGATGCCACCAGGGATTGTGGAGTGGGATAGTATCCTCTTCCCTGGGCCCCCAACCTGGATCCTGGAGCCTTACCTTGACATCTCGGTGGGCGATGTTATGGCTGTGCAGAAACTGGATGGCAGTGCCAATATCCCGCATTATCTCTGCAGCTTCTGCAGAAACAGACAAGGGAGGAGGGGGTCAGTGATGCCAGTCAAAGGTCAAGCTCTCACCCTATCATCCCTCCTGGACACAGTCCAGCACCCGATCAGCACAAGACAAGAAGACAGTGACAGCGTTCTTGCTACCCAGGATCTCTATCCTGGACCCCCACCCCAGACACCCCAGTTTCCTCCAAGGATACCCTCAACCCATCTAAACCTCTTTCCTCAGTCCTGAGCTACCTCTCCCCAGCTCAACTCGAGGCAACACTTCCATCCCAAAGCCACAGAGTCCATCTTTGACAAAGTGTCCCAGACTCAGAGAGTCCCTTGTGGGGATGGACATTGAGTCCCACCCTTTCTTGTTCAGTTGGGAAGACTGAGGCACAGAGAGGGACAGGGTCTTGTATCACACACAACTCTCTGGTCCATACCTCTCACCCTGAATCCTCCTGCTGGTCCAGCTACATGCACATACCTCTCTCAGTGAAAGCCTGGTCGCCACGCTCCTGAATCCTGCTGAACAACTCACCACCTTCCATGCTGTAAAAGAGGTGATATAAGCAGAGATGGGGGGGAAATTGCATATCATCCTACACCTGCCCCTGCCCCAAATCATAGGCCCAGGCTTCAGGCCCTACTAAACAGCCTCTGTCAGCCTCCCTGTCCCTTGGAGAACCTGGTACATGGTGGGTTGTCAACTTGTCAGCTTGGGTGGGCTGAACTGAACTCTTAGAACTAGAAGAGGATGGTGGGCTCTGATCCCTGCCAAGAAGCCTGTGTGTTCCCAGTGGCACTGCCCCTACCTGACTGTAAGGCCTTGGGTACTCCCAACCCCTTTCAAGTCCCTGTTTCCCAAATGTGGGATGAGATGTTTATCATCATATGGCCACTGTTCTCTCGGCACCTATTGTATGCCATGCCCTGGGATCCACGTTTTATGAGCACTGCTGTGTGATCTTGGGCTGGTTCTTTCACCTCTCTGTGCCTCAGCTGTCTCTTTTGTACAATAGGGATGACAGCACCAACCCCATAGTCATGAAGATTGAGTATGAAATACACATGGGCCACTTAGAATGGAGTCAAGCACAGGGTAAAGGCTACATTAAGATCTTGCCCATATCTTCACGCGAGTTACAGAGATTCAGAGAGGTTAAGAGCTGCCCTTGGTCACACAGCTAGGGGGTAGCAGAGGCAGGATCTGAACCCCAAATCTGAAGAACTGGCTAACTGGTACAGGAAGGAGGGACTTAAAAGGCAGACAGGGAGGAGCTGGGGGCCCAGAGTCTAAGGAATGCTGGTGCTGAGCCACGGTGTTACAGGCATAAGTCCAGAGTGGAGAAGGCCACTGGCTCCTGGTTCTAGGCCCCAAGCACCCAATTCCTAGTAGGACCATGGGAGCACATACCCAGGTAAAAAGAAGAGAAAGTTGAGGGAACTGTGTGGGTCCTGTTCTTCCCCAAATCCCCCATCTATTCACATTCAGGGATTGGGAGCCTTCTCTAACAGCTCTTTCAGTCCTCCTCACAGGGTGGAAATCACACCCAGGGAGGCCATATTAACCCCTATGGTTTCTTCCCCACCCTTGAGGGAATGTTCTCACAGCCAACTCCATATATCCACAGGCAGGGCCTGCGGCTGCCTGCTCCATTACCCCTCAAGGGCTAGAGAGGCACCCAGATCTGCTACCTGAAAAACAAAGAAAGCCTCTAGAAGCATGGCAGGGAGCCTGGGGACCACAGTGATGCCAAGGGGGTATGGAGACAAGGTGGGCCAGCATACCATTCCATGATGATGAGGAGACAGCGTTTGCCGTGGTGCATGTTCTCATACACATCCAGGATGCAGACAATGTGGGGGCCACCAGAGGCCTGCCAGTGATGGTCCACCTCCTGCCGGGCCTTGGGGCTATCATACAGGAGCTGTGGGAGGGCGGGCATAGAAAGCATCAGGCTCAGAGCCCTCTACCCTCACTTTGCAGACAAAGACATATAAGCTCTGAGGCCTGTGACCTGCCCCCAGGTCACACAGCTTATAAGGAGCAGAATGAGAATTCGAATCCAGGTTTCCTTGACTTGTGGTCCAATGAGCCTCTGGACTTGAGGATCAGTCCTCGGCTCAAGCAGCTTGGCAGGTAGTTCAAGGAGTCCCTGGGAGGTGGCTGACTGCTTCAAGGAACTTAGAGGCCAAAGACGTCCTTGCCTCCCTTCTCAGGGGCAGCAAATAAAATGGAAATTGACTGGGTTTTATAACCCACTCAAATAACACAGCAGTCATAAGACCCCAAGCCAGGGGCCACACATCCCATAAGCCTCATTTTTATAGTGAAGATGACAGAGTTGTTCTGTTTCACAGGCTAGGGTTGGAAACTGTACATGTAAATTGTATAGGATGGCACCTGGTACACAGTAGCCCTTGATGCTTCCCTTGTGATTCTCACCCAGCACAACTGTGAGAAACAAAGTAGAAGGTGCTGGGGAAAGGCTGGGGAGGGGAGAGGGTGCACTAACACACAAATCTGCTCCACACACTTCAGCATGACCAGGAGAGTGCTGGAGTGGGAAGGAAGACTTCCTGCAGGAGGGGTTGAGGCCTGTGTCTGTCAATCTAGCTCCCACAAAGAAACTGGCCCAGAGTGGAGGGAGACAAGGCCACTCTCCTGTAGAGGCGAAGGTAATTAAGATTTCAAATTCTCCAGGAGTGGGTGCAAGAACAAAACTGTCACTATCAAGAAAAGTGCTTCTAAAATGAGTTGCTTGGTCATGACCGCCCAGTCAGTCCCCAGCTTCCAAGGTAGCTTTGTAGCCTGCCTGAGAGCTGCTATGCAGTATCAGGGCAACAATGTCACACCACCGTGAAAGAGGTGGAGCCATCTCAAGGTGACCTAGCTGCCCAGCCTCTACCTTTATCCCATGCTTACAGACCAATGGTGAGGACCCAGAGGTAGAGACTGGGGGCAGGGAGGACCCTAGTTGAGGGAGATGACAGCCGAGTAGAGTGAGATGTGGGTTTGGGATTGAATTCCTCCAATGACTCGGTGTGACCTCAGGCAAACATTCACAGCTCCAAGCCGCAGCCCACAACTCTGTAAAATGGAGTAATAGAAAAGTTATCCCCACAGGGTGCATCCCAGCAAGGCAAGCATCCAGTGGGCAGGCATCAGGATCCTTGCTCAGGTTAGCTCAGCCCTGGACTGTGGCTGCCCACCAGCACCAGAAATGAACAAGGCCGCCCAGTGGCTCTGCTGTAGGGGGAGAAGGAGAAGTCAACATGCAGGAGGAGATGGCCCAGAATGGGGACAGCAGGGACAAGACACCCCCAGAAGGGTTGCTCACTCAAGGCCCAGCCAGTGACACTGTGTTTCCTAATGGAGGAGGGCTGGGGGACCAGGGCTGATGCTCAAGACCAGGACTTGGATCAGCCCCGCTCAGCACCTGTAGGACCCTGGGCTGCCCCAGCCTTAATTTCCTCTTCTGCAGGATGGGGAGAGCCAGTCCACTTTACACAGGGCACTGTGTGGGGTAGGCTCTGGGGCCACACTCTCTACATAAAGGTAAACTAGGGCAGGGCAATGTCCCAGAGAGGGGAGAGGCAGGCAATGGTTTCTCGAGCCTGCTGCCCCTGGCTGTCCCTCCTTTTCTGGAGCTGTTCCCCTCAACCCTAGCCTGGGAATAGACAGTGCATGGAATACAGAGAGTCAGGGGCTGGACAAGCCCTCTAGCAGCTCTGTGCCCCTGCTCCATTACCCAGAGCAGGCTGGGGGTATGTGTCAAGGCTGCTGCGGGCAGATGCTCCTGCCTGCACATCCTGGACCCTTGCTCACACTGCCCTTGCCTGCCAGAACACCCCTCAGGTCGGTGCCCGTACAATTCCCAATCACCAGCTTCCTGCTCAACATTGGGCGCAGAAAGCCCCCACTCATCTCCACCATGTCCTGGGGAGGCTCTAGCTGGGAGTACCCCAGTCCCCGGCCACAGGAGACAAGATGAACCATCCTCCCTCCCTGCACCTGCTTCCTTCTTTGCCTCCTCCCCCTCCCTCTGCCAGGTCCCTTCCTCCCAAGCCTGACCTGACCATCTTCCTGTCAGGCCTCCCAGGCTGGCTCCCACACCCTCTCCTCACTGCCTGCCTTGTGGCATCTCACTCCCACACCAGAGTCCTCCTCCTCTCTCTTAAAAGCCCAAGCTCACAGCTGGAATGCTTTCAGTGAGGTTCTCAGCCCTGCCTCTCCCCTTAGGACTTTAATCTACCTGTGGCCACAGACACTTCCTCACCATCTTCCAGATAAATGCCACCTCTTCCCCTAGGATGCAGGGCTTGCCTTTTTGCCCACTGCACTTCCTGCCACCTCTGGGCCAAAATCACTTTGTTCTGGCCTGAAAAATATATGTGCTGTTCCCAAACAGGCCTTCCTCCCCCAGGTCTCTGTGTCTATGCCTGTGCTGGTTCCTGTCGTGTGCATTCTTGCCTCATCTTCTCCATTGGGTCAACTCCCTCTTTCTGAGGAAACTTCAGGGCTCAATTCATCTCTCTCTCTCTCTCTCTCTCTCTCTCTCTCTTTCTGTCTCTCTCTGGAAAGTTCTCCCAACACCTTTCTTACTGTTTTTTGCCTCTGTTCCTCCTACAAGCTTGGAAGCAGCTTGAGGGCAGAGGAGGGTCAGGTTCACTTGGGGTCCCTGGCTGGGGCCTGGCAGGAAACACTGGGCTCCCAAGCAAAGGATGGGAGGACGGGCCTAGGACTGGAGGGAGATGGGGGCAGTGAGAGGGAGAGAGGGAGGGAGGGCGGTAGATGGCCAAGGAGGGGCCAGAGAGCCTTCCAGCCTGGACCTGCAGCCTGTGCTTCACTGAAGTAGAGGAGCGGGTGGAGCTGCCCTGAGCTGGAGCCTCTCGTGGCTTCCTGCCCCACTCAGTCCATATTTAGGAACCCATTTCCCACATGGATTAAAATAGTCCTTCTACAAGTGCCAAAGCCCTGAAAATAGGCATAGGGTGCAGGGAGGGCTGTCCCCGGAAAATATAATAAATGCCCCACTGGCGTCTCTGCAGAGCACAGGAGCCAAAGCCCTCAGCCTGGACCCACCCAGGTCCAGCTGCCAAGAAATCCCTGAACTGTCTCTCCTGACCCCTTGAGTTGACCCTGAACATAGCCCAAAACCTCCTAGACCCTCAGTTTTCTCATCGTCCTTCCCCATAGCCAAAGCCTTCTCCTCCTCCAGGCTTCCCCTCAATGTCACCTCCTCTCAGAAGCCCTCCCTAACCACCCTGTCTAAAAGGGACCTCAAGAGTCCTTCACTCTCTCTTCATCATTTGTTTTTCTTTCTTTCAATATATCCTTTGTTTATTGAGGTATAATTGGCATATAGTAGAATGTACAGGTCTCAAGGGTCCAATTCAATGAGTTTTGATGATTGCACACACCCTAGGGACCCAAACTTCCATCAAGACAGAAAACATTCCTAGCTCTCCAGAAAGCTCTCACGTCATTGCCCTTTTCACTTCCTGTGCAGCACTTGCTCACAATCTGCAATTAGCTTGTTCCTTTGATAACCCTTTAAGCAAACACACACATACAGATATTGTACTTCCAATGTGCCTGGCTCTGTTTGGGGCACTTCATAAACATTAGGAGGAAAGGACTTAATTATCACCACTTTTTGGTCATAATTGAGGCACAGAGAGGGGAAGAAACTGGCCTCAAATCACATGGCTGATCCCCCAGCCAGGCCGATACCAGCAGCCTCCCTGATCAGACTGTGGGCCCACAGGGCAGGGCCAGTCTGCCTGGCCACCTCTAGGTCCTAATACTGGGGCACAGGGCCTGGTGCAGTCTTGCTCTGTCACCCAGGCTGGAGTGCAGTGACACAATCACAGCTCACTGCAGCCTCAATCTCCTAGGCTCATGCGATTCTCCCACCTCAGCTTCCCAAGTAGTTGGGACCACAGGTGCATGCCACCATGCCTGGCTAATTTTTTTTTTTTGTACAGATGGGTTTTATCGTGTTGCCTAGGCTGGTCTCGAACTCCTAGGCTCAAGCCATCCTCCTGCCTTGGCTTCTGAAATGCTGAGACTACAGGCATGAGCCACTGCACCTGCCAATATTTGTAGATGTAATAAATCTATAGAGTAAGGATGAGGGGAAAAAACTCTCACAACCCATCATGAGGACAAGATAAAATTAAATTGAGGAGGCCCTAGTGAGGCTCAACAAATGGGAGACATGACAACCTGGCCAAACTTTCTCCCTGCTGCCCATGGGCAACCTGTACTTCACCTACCCTCTATGTTGAACTAGGCTTTACCGCCTCTTCCAGGGAGCCCACCATGACTACTCCAGTCCACAAGGCATTACTGCAAGTTGGCCTCCTTCACATAGGTACATGACTCCACATTATTCTTCATAAAAGGTGTCCCAAAGTAAGAGCTCCATCTTCCCAGGCATGAGAATGAGCACAGGGTCAGGACACAGGAGGCCCAGGCTCTATCCCTATTCTCAGTATGACCTTAGGCCAGCCCCTTTTCCTCTCTAGGCCTCTGTTTCCCCAATGTTAAGCTGTAGGGCTTAGGCTATACAGGGTAGGGAAGAGAAGAGAGCAAAAAGGGGGACTTCTAGAAAGGGGTTCCCTGCAAAGTGCCTACCATAGTCCCAATCCCACATCACTGCCCCCATGGAGGGCCTCTGGGTCCCCATGGACTCCATATCCACATGCCTAAGCCCACTGGGGCCTACCTGGAATGGGCAATGATGCCATGGTTCCCAGTCACAGCTGGGAAGACAAGAAGATAGGAGGGGGCTGGACATAGTGGCTCATGCCTGTAGTTCTAGCACTTTGATAGGTCAAGAGGGGAGGATCACCTGAGGTCAGGAGTTTGAGACCAGCCTGGCCAACATTTCAAAACCACATCTCTACTAAAAATACCAAA